CCTTCTTAATATATATAAGAATATGTCGCTCTATATAAGTGCTACAGGCTTTGTTAACAACATTAATATCCTTATATATAATCTAAGTATAGAGCAAAACTACAGAAACCTTAAATATATATACCTTGTATGTAAGTTATAAGCAACCTGCTATAAGTCCTCCTTTAATCCGTCCAAATATAACCTGATCCACTTCTTTTATACGCCTAAGAGATTTAATATACTAGCTAAACTATTACTACTCTTTATAAACGTAAGCCTTGACCCTAAGTTAGACGTCAGAGTACTTAGAGTCCAGCTCAACCTGATATTATAATAGAAACCTTACTTTTACGTAATTAAAGCGTAAGTAATTTATTACTTAAGCGCCCTAAAAATACTATTCAGCTCTATCTAAGGCTTCTTTGTCTCCTTAGGGCTTTAGGTATACATATTAGCCACTTAACTAGCGCTACTCTACAGCTATAACGCCTAGTACGCCTTAAAGGATATAATAAGGCATAGAAAGGGTATTAAAAATAAACTATAAGCTATCTAAGGACGCTGCCTTTAAGCTATTATAAGAGCCTATAAAGCTACTATTATACAGGCGCTTAAGGTTAAAACATTTACTCTCTTAATATATCTTTATATAGAGATGTTTGTAGCTAACTTAACTTGTTATATACTAGCAACAGACCTTTATAACGTGATTAAAACTATAGTAAGCTGCATTTATTAACAAGATTAAGACAGTAAAAGCAGGCAAGCCAAGCCCCTTATTACCTCTTTTTACTTACTAAAAGAATAAATAAAAAGTTATATAAGTAGTCTATCTCGTCTTAAGATAAGAAATCCGGGTACTGACCCCTTATAACGCGTTCCTCTTAACATTAAAATCGCCTCCTCAAAAAAAATAATAACTTAGCAACATATATATAACTTATATATGCTATCTATATACATATACTACAACAGTAACAGTTAGAATAATAGAATCTTAGCTATAGCTATAGATATAATTACACACCTTTCCTACGCCCTAGACACTATTAATAACGCGTAAGTATTCTATAAAGAACTTACTAGCATTCTTCTTGCACTTAGACTCTTCTTAATCTGCTCTAATTCCTCTTTATCTAATTATATAGCTATTATTTACTCTAATAATTAAGCAACCTTATAGTTTCTCCTAAAGGGTAACTTGATTTACTCTTAATTACTCTTTAAAGATATTTATTTAACTATTAAGGAGCTTAGGCAAAAGGAAATCTTAACCAAACTATAATAGCTACCTAGATATAAAGAGATTAAGGGTAACGAAATAATAGACAACTATATTAATAAAGTAGCAAGGGCTATAAGCCCCCTCTAAAAGCTTATAACTTGCTTCCTCTCTGTAATCAAAAGAATTATAAAAAGAAGAGTCCAGGAGCGCTAGGACTAGTCCTGAGAAAACAGAGTACAAACCTGCGGAATCGTTAAGCTCTCCTCTTGCGTTTCTTTTGCGAATCGCAGGCTTCATGCTAGCCGACCAAAAGCACATAGTGCCCTGCTAACCCAGCTTAGGACTAGAGTAATCGGATTTAATGCCTTCCTCTTTAAACGCCGAGTACCCTCTGTGCCTAGCCCTTGCTGCGGGTGCGGGTTAGGGACCATGACAGTGCAGCACGTCCTCCTCTCCTGCCCTACATAGTCTCAGCTCCGGAGACGCGTCTTAAGCGACCACCTGTTCTCTGACATGCAGAAGCTCCTTAATAGCCATAAAGGAGCAACCCAGGCTATTCGCTTCATCCTTCAGACTAACCTGCTAGCCCAATTCTCCTTGGTCGTATGTGACTCGCAGGCGATACGCCCTTAAGTCATCTGACTTCACTGTTCTCCTTTATTAACTCCTTTCTGCGGTCACATAGAGCCTCTAGAGCTCACTTTGAGTATACTGTCTCCTTAATTAGAAAATCTTAAAAAGTTATAATATACTTTTTTAAGTTATAAGATTAAGCTAAAGAAAAAAGAAGATAATATTATAATATATAAATATACTAGGCACTAATAGATATTATAGAGTTATCTAACACTTTATAAAGAGACTATAACAGACTTAGATAAGACTAGACCCTGAACTGCATATATAGTCAGACCTAAACAACGTAATAATTAGAGGTGATCAGGGTAAGCCCTTATAAGCAATAATTAGAGGTGATCAGAGTAAGCACTTATAAATAATAATTAGAGGTAATCAGGATAATTAACTCTGAACATGAATCTCTTAGTCTATATAAGCATATTTACTTCCTAGATAGTTTTATAGTCTTTATAGTCAACTTATATTATTAGTTTATACCTAAGTTAAAGATATTCTAGTATTATTTACTACACTTCTTATTTTACTTAATTATCTATTTAGACTTAGCTTTTAGTTAAGACTTGTCTTAACTAGTTAAGCCTTAATATATTATTTACTGTACTTCCTGTTCTACCTAATTAATTCATCTAGACTTAGCTTTTAGTTGAGACTTGTCTTAACTAATTAAGCCCTAACACTAGACTTGCTGTAACTACCTATTAATAATAATATTAGTTTAAGAATTAATCTCCTCTTTTATTTAGTATTCAAAGATAAATCCAGCCTTCTCAAGAGCAACTGAGATAATAATCCAACTTTATAAAAGAGTTACGCTTAAGTAACTAAAGTTACTTAAATATAGTTAGAATAGTATATTAATCCTTATCTAGATGCTTTAAAGAGAGTCGAACTATAACTTTATCTAGGCCTCAGAAGGCCTCTATATTAACTCTGTAATAGCAATAATAAGGCTAGCAAATTTAATATGCTTAGCAAAAGTAGTATATAATCAAATATTATAATAAGTATTATAATCTAGAGGAAAACCTACTTATTCAAGCACTCTAAGGGCTACAGAATATAAGATATTAGCTATATAAAGAGACTTGCCTAGCGTCAAAGCAGGCAGAAACGCAGGCAACATTGTGATGTGCTCTTTTCTATATCTTAACGGATTCGTAGTCATCAAATGGCTATAAGAATCATTTGAGATACCTAAAACAAGGCCATATATGCTAGATCCACGCTTGCCGACTTGTTTATACGTAAGATAGACCAGATAAGGGCAACCGTGAGCGTTGATACTAGTCACCTCTTGCTTACAACGGCTAGTAATTCGATTCTCCTCATCCCTCTTTATATGCTGCTCCAAATGACGAGTATCTAGGGTATTATCTCTGTGATGAATACAGCGAAAATCAAACCGCGGGCGCACTTGCTTCATGCTGCCACTTTTGCGTACGATAGCAAAACCCTGCGATAAGGCCCAGTCTTGGAGCCGCTCTTGACAAATATCTGGATTCTCAAAGATCTCGCTGTCAACAGGAGCAAGCAGGAAGGAGGTAGGTAAGGATCGTACGCGCTCTTCGAGCAGCGCCTTTACGTGTTCCGGGCACTCAGGATGAGCAGTCCATAGAGGGGTGGCCATAGCAACGACGAGAGCAAGATACAACACCAAGAATATCTATCTCAATACCTGTATAGGAAGTAACAGAGGTTCGGATCAGAGATAAAAAAACGCGTTGGAAACTATCAGGAACGCTACATACAAATTACTATGGCGGATTCCTGCCAAGACCCAAACGCCGAAAATACCGCTCGCCGAATATACCGCTCCTAACACATCCCGGCTGGTTCATACATTTAATTAGCTAAGGATTAAATTGCCTAGAAGAGCGGCACTGTCGCACTTTTCAGGGGTCTTACAGTACTACACATAAAGTCTGAGTCATACCCCGCATTATGCCCCACCACTGCCTCCTCCCTCTTCTCATACAAATTATTACCCACTGTGGAAAAGCTGTTGGAATCCTATGAAATTCAAGGATATCATCCATTTGGTTATGCTCTTTGAAGCTGTACTAATTTCCTGATTAGGAAATGCGTATTTAGTATCTGGTGTACTATCCTCTTGCGGCAAGTACGCAATTTACCCGGGTAATTATACTCTTTATTAACTTATTAATAGCTTCTTGACTAATTACCTCCTAACTGTCGCGAATAGCTTGAAATAAGCGTTGATAATCCTCCTCACTTTTGCCTATTTGATTAAGTTCAGGATAATGATTCTGAATCCACTGCTTAAGTTGCGCCTAAAGGTGTTTAATTAGATTAAGATCTAGACTATAAGGTGGCTAATCTAACACTGGTATGCCCTTATCTTCAAACTATTTCTTGACTTTTTTGGATGTATAGATAGGGGCATTATCCTGCATAAATGTCATACCAGGTTGCCATATCTGAGGCATTTGATCATCAAGAACTGTGAGATAAGAGTTGGCAGTGTATCCTGACTTCTCTGAATCAGGATCTCGGCCCATTATGACTATATCCGAACGACTATCTCTATGAATTGCACCCCATATCATGATGCTGATATCCTTGCCTTTCTTATAGGGTTGTATCATATCCTTATCCCACTTCTGTTGTGGTGTACGAAAGACCCAAACTCGCTGTGCCCCTGAGCCTTGTTCAAGGCTACATTCGTCACTCCATATTATCTTGCGCTATTAATCCCAAGTCTAATTTCTATGCGCTTTTGCTCATGCAAATCGTTTAGCAACCACTTCCAGAGTAAGCAAGGGCCTTTTTTTGGCTATCTAATTATGCTGATCAGTTCCTATACCTACGATCTTACTAATACGAGCTTCTAACTCGTGCTTGGCTGAGTGTTCTCGCTTAAGTATTCTTGCTTGCTGATAATGTCAAGGCTTGCAGCACCCTCAAGCTAAACGGCCTCAACCTCAGCGACAATCTCCACAAAAATTCCTTACGCCACAGCGCTACAACTTCCAATACCTCGAACCAGCCGCTCCTAGACCCTTGTAAAGAGTTCTAGCCACCAGAGTTGAACATGGGCCCGGTGCGTTTTCGAACACCACCAATGAGACGTATATACCGAATTGTCAGTCTGAGAATACCACGCTCAGGTTGAAAAAAGGTCAATTAGCTCACCTCAATCGCTATTGAAATCTTTGACGTTCTCAGCAATCCTAGCAAGGACCTTTACCTGAGACCTTTGCAAATCGAGGCGTTCGTCCTCTCTCCTCCATTCCTCTTCCAACTCCTCCATTCTCTTCCTCGTCTCCCTCTCTGCCTGCTCTTTCCTTCTCTCCTCCTCAAATCTCCTCCTGAATTCCATATCTTGCTCCGTTGCTTTCCCCTCTTTGAATCTCTGGTCCCTCGCCAACTTCTCAGCCGCGCTCCTCTTCCTGATATTTGGCTCAGCGAGGTCCCGCAGCGTCAACCCCGCTTCCACCTTCTCGTGGTAGTCGTCCATCTTGTCACAGCCGTACTTGAGGGTATCGCTGAGGAGATCTGCGAGCTCGTGGGTTTGCTGGTGTTCCTTCTGGCATCTTTCTTTGGTTTGCTCTTCGACACTGTAACTGCTGAGGCAGGATATCAAAAATGTGGCACTGACGCCGATGAAGAAGCCGGTCCAGTGGGGGGCCATGATAAGCAGTATGTTTTAATAGTGGTTTTTGGTTGGTTATAAATAATAACTTTTGAATGAGAAGATGGAGATTGGAAGTGAGGAGAGTAGTTGAGGGTGGTTCATGTGCATGGTTATGTACTAACCGCGGCGTCAATTCAAGGACCTTTATCTCCTGGTGGAGATGTATGGAGCCTTTTTGATAAGTCCAATTCAGCCTTACAGGCGTACCATTGCCAATTTAACTTTTCCATGGGCTTCTGGATGATCCTCTGCAGGAAAAGCCCTGAGTGAGGACCGTGTGTTATTTTTCACATATTTAAAGCCGCCACATTTTATGGAAAAACGGAAAAGCGAGGCATTCAATCCGTTTTCTGAGCTTGTGAAGCAATTTCACGTGAGCCTTTATCCCACTGTTTAATACATAAGTAAACAAATGGTAAATGCGCAGTACTGCTTTTAAATTGATATTATTATTATTATGTGTTTGATCTTTGCCGCCTGGTATAGAGGGATAAGAATGCTGAATCGGTGGCAGAGTTGTTAAGGACATAACATGATATCAGGGCATGATGAAAGAAAGATTTGGGAAATGGTCTTCAACCTATCTTTTTAAAGATGCAGGTCCTTCAAATACCTTAATAAAGAGATAATTCGAAGGAGACTTTCAGTCACGAGAGCCTAACATCAAGCTCCTCTTTCTATCTGTACTCGTTCCTTTCGTGTTTTCGGACGTCATCCTGGATGTAACACAAATTTGACAGTTGCTTTTGATGTAAATTAAGAAGGGAAAAGATCAGTGTGGATGTTTTTCGCGCTGCGTGATAAGAGGTTTTAATGTTGAGACTTTCACGGCCACGAGATGGCCTGGAGCCTCAGCTCTCGGGACTGCTCGTCAGCGCTCGATTCAGTCAACGACAGACTTTACAGCTTCCGCCCACAAATTTAGTTATCGCTCGGTTGCTGGCTGGTGTGATCCCACATCAGCCGAAGTTAGATGATCGAGATGGTGTAAGCCTTGGCCTCTCTATCCTCCTCTTCATAGCCTGAGGGTGGGACTGTTATCGAGTTAAATGCGTCTGTGATCCTAGTATGCAGGTCTTCTTCATCATTATTCAACTTTTTGGTCTTCACAAAGGATTCCAAACTCTCTTTCGTTTTAAGGAAGGGATTTTTCGCTTCGTAGTTGCGATTCCACCATACACCGATTCGGACATACTGCCCTCTCTGACGGCCCGTCGCTTGCAGAATGAGCCCTTCGCGATATCTCGCGAAATCCATACGTTCGACAACTGCGAGGAGGACCACAGGATTCGGATGATAAAGTCTCCGCGAGGCTACCTGATCATAGAACACCATCAGGGATGCTGATTGCGTTGCGTTCAAGTCGACTGAATAGGGGCTTCCACCGTCGCCTGTAGTCACCGTGCATAACTTTCCGCGCATTCGAAGAAGGCCTCCATTGACAGCGCCTAATGGGTGATTTAGGGGGTGGGTCTCGGTCACGATGATCTCTGCGAGGAGCCGCGACAAACTAGGAGGATGGAATGGCATAGAGACAGCATGTTGAACAGCCGCCCAAGACCAGCTCGGCGCCCTATCATCGGCCACACCAATCATTTCCTTGTCTTGATTACCTGTCACTCTCCAAAGCAATTGTTCCTTAAGATTCGAGCTTCACAAACCAGCCAAATATGTCACCGAGTCGTTACGCCAGAGGTCCTGCAGTTATTGGGCTAAAGCCCAGCACTGCAACCAATTTGTCGGACCCGAATGAGAGATTTGTCCTGGTGTACAGCTCAATTGTTCGCTTCCAAACGCCCGAAATTCAGGACCTTGGTCACGGGAGATGTCCTGCCACGAGTAGTTCGTTAGATGTTTCAAAGCCCCCGTCACATCAGATTCTGAAGCTTCCATAGTGGCGCACTCCCAAATTGCTTTGTGTCTGGTGAGATAAACAGCTCTTGGCACCAACAGACTTTCCTGGACTACCCACTGTATAATACGCCGCTGTCAGCATCTCATCTCTCCCAACTCGAATCAATAATCCTCAGTTACACCCCACCGTTCGCCATCACGTACTTCTCCTGGTGGGTCAAACCTAGAGATGTTCTGACCCCTCCTTCATTGGGCTCCCGTTATGCTCCCGGAGCAAAAGACGACTTCAGAGTCGATAGCAGTCAGTAGCGTATTCAATAACAAGGGCGTGTGAAGCCAAGGCTCGCTGTGGAGAACCCAGGACCTGATACCACGAGTTTCGAGAAAGAAGTCAAGTACAAGACATTATAGGAAGCCAAGTCAGCTATTTTACATGAAACCGGAAGTGGTGAAAACTAAAGACCTTTGATCATACTGTGACAATGTTTTTGACAGACCTCGTTGGAAAAGACGGTGTTTGGTAGACCCAAAGGACCTCTGGACTGTAATTAGGTTACAGTATTTCATTATGTGGACCGGATGTCACGTGATATATAGCGCTGCAACAAACGCTACTGGATTCTGCGCGTCTTCGATGAATTTGCTGGTTATCAAACGGTGGCGTATTGTGCGACGTTTTGAACGCGTTTTATCACAGATTTGTTACGCGTTTCGCCTCGAATTAACATGTATTTTTAGTATTGACGTTTCGCGCTATTTCGCATGGATTGGCAGTTTGATATCCACCAAACCACGGTAAAATTTGACATTTATTTAATTGGTCCGCATTAGGACCAGGGGTCCTTAGCGCCCGTAACCTTAAACCTTAATTTCTGCGGTGCAACACCAGAGCTGTGGTAGCGCAGTAAGAATAGAGTACATATCAAGAACTCAATGACCCAAAAGCATCATCAAGAAGAGATATCAGGGCCTCTAGATACTATAGAAGCTGCTCTATTAGCTAAAGACCTGCCTCGGCCGAAGAGAGCTCGAATCCAGAGCTGAAAAGCCCTTGAAAATCAAGCTCAAAATCAGCCACTCGAAGTACCTTCCTCAAAGTCTACCACAGCTGCGGCATAGCCTATCCACATACCAAATTCGCCGATTCTGAGCTCCTCACGCTCGAGCGAAACGTACGAAAAACAGCGATAGTTATCAAACAGTCAAAACAGCTCTAAAAGAAGTGATATTAATTCACAGA